AGATGTACGTGTAGATCTGATGTGATGGACATATAATACGGTATGTCTTCTCTTCCCTTCCTTGGTGATGTGCGTGCGGAGGCTGATTCTGTGCGGTAGATTCAAGTTACTGTATACGCAATGTTGTAGAGATCATAGAGCCGGAGACGGATACCCGCCGTTCAATCAGGACTTTTGTTGTACTTTATCCTTGGCGTTTGCGCGGACGGTGTTCAACTTTACGACGACTTCACGCTTGTACTTCCCCTCCTACCCCTTCGGCATTCTATCCCACGTTCTCTTACACTCAAGTCTCAGGTTCCACGGGTATCGGTATAGGTAAAACTGAAGCCTACTCTCATGTGATGGAATGCTGACGCTGCTCTCGACTACAGGGTCAACATGTATTAGCGTGGCTGCGATGGCATATACTTGTTGTACATCTGCAAATCATGTGCCGCCGCTCCGAGCGGCTGATCAGGTTCTCGCCACAGCTGGAAGCCAGATGGCTGCGCCCGAAAGAGGAGTATTGTGTTCCGAGGCCTGCGTGTGACTGGAACGTTTACGGAAGGAACAAGGAAAGAAGCGCTCGGGCGCTTGTGTGCTCGAGAAGGTCAATAGGTATGCTGTACAAGGCTGTACATTCACTCGATGCTCGTAGGGAGATTGCGTGTCAAGACTCGTTGCTTTCTCGCTCTTCTGGCCGGATGGCATTCCTTCTCGCAGAGGCAACGGGACGCCGATTGGAAGTCTGTGCACCTGCTACTACGGCGCTTATCCCGGTGGCTTCTCGCCAACCTGATACGTCATAAGTCATTGCCTATAAGATCGACTCGCGCGTGTCGTTTGCCGCCCCTCTCCCTGTGCTCCGAAGTCGCACTGACGCTCAGACAGATCCTTCGCGAGCGGTGAGTTTGACCCCGTCCGTGTTGTCAGTCCAGTGTGCTCACGGTGTGAATGCATTATCACAGGGCTCTACGATGGACAGCACTTCTCATAGTTCTGGCGCTGATCTCGATTATGCTGGTTTCAACGTGGATACCGGACTCAGCAAAGACCCAATCGCCGCTAGCCGCACCCTATCCGACCGTTATAGAACAAATGGGGACACGGCTATTCTTGCAAAGGCCATACGAATCATGAGAGATGCAATCTCTTTGGGACCCCTCAACATTCGCTTTGTCGTGCAACTCTGTGTCTATCTCTTGACACGCTACAATCACTTCGGAGCAACCGAGGATAGAGAAGAGAGTATAGCTTTGCTTCGTCACATCATCAAGATGCAATCTGAGCGTCACGAGGACCCCAACTCGATGGTGCTGATCAATCTTGGAAGTGCGCTGCAGGAACGTTACGGGCGTACTGGCGAACTCGAAGATCTTGACGAGGCGATCGTGGTGAAAAGACGCGTAGTCAAACTTACCTCCGACGAACACCCCCTCAAAGTGGCGTGTCTGACCAGCCTCGGCAATGCACTACTAGCCCGTTTCGAACGCGTCGGGCAACTGGGGGATATCGAGGAGGCGATTCTGACGAACCGCCGCGCCAACGACCTTACACCCGATAAACATCCCGACAAATCGGCTCGGCTGAGCCATCTCTCCGTCGCTCTTCGAGCGCGCTTCCAGCGCGTTGGCGAGCTGCACGATCTTACCCAGTCGATATCACTGCAACGCCGCGCCGTCGACCTCACGCCCGACGGGCATCATAACAAGCCAGCTCTCCTGAGCAACCTTGGTCGCGCACTACAGGCTCGCTTCGAGCGCGTCGGCGAGCTCGAAGATCTTGAAGAGGCGATATCCTTAAATCGTCGTGCCAATGGGCTCATACCGGACGAGCATTCCGATAAAGTGATCTGGATGAATACTCTCTCGGTCTCGCTTCAAGTACGTTTCGAGCGCATTGGGGAGCTCGAGGATCTCGAGGAAGCGATCGTGATAGGACGCCGCGCCGTCGAGACCACGCCCGATAGTGACCGCCATCGTAAGCCGGCCTTGCTCAGTACTCTCAGTAGCGCACTGCAAGCTCGTTGCAAGCGCGTCGGCGAATTGGATGACGCGGAAGAGGCAATAGCCTCTGGGCGTCATGCCGTCGAGCTTACTCCAGACGGACATCCTCAGATGGAGGCTCGATTGAATAACCTCGGCATCGCACTTCGCGGCCGGTACGAACGCGTGGGAAAGCTTGAGGACCTCGAGGAGGCGATCTCGAGGTTACGCTTGGCGATTGATATCGCGGGTGATGGGCACCCGTACAAGCTGGGCCTTTCGTTGAGCAACCTTGCTGCCAATCTGCAGGCTCGGTTTGAGCGAGTTGGCGAGACTCGGGATGTCGAGGAGGCAATCTCAGTGGGGCGGCTAGCTGTCGATGTCACGCCTGATGGGCATCCTGACAAGGCGGCTCAATTGAACAATCTATCCATCTCCCTACAGGCACGCTTTGGTCGTTTTGGCGACTTCAAGGATCTCGAGGAGGCTATTTCAGTGCAACGCTCCGCTGTTAAGTTTACGCCCGATGGATACCCCGGCAAGCCGCGATGGCTTGCTAATCTCGGTACCGCGCTCGATACTCGTTTCAAGCACGTGGGAAGGCTCGAGGACATCGAGGAGGTGATCTCAGTGGGACGTCGCGTCGTCGAGCTTATACCCGATGGGCACCCCGAGAAGCCGGCTCACTTGAACAATCTCGGCACTGCGCTGTATGCCCGCTTTATGCGTACAGGGGAACTCGAAGATCTTGAGAAAGCCATAGCGACTGAACGCTACACCATCGATCATACAACTGATGAGCACCCTCTCAAGCTAGCAACTTGGCTGACCAACCTGGGTGCTTCTTTACAAGCTCGCTTTGACCTCGTCGATGAGCTCCGGGACCTTGAAGATGCGATCACAACTCAACGGCGTGCCGTTGAGTTGACGCCCGATGGTCATCCCCACAAGGCGATTCGTATGGACAACCTCGGTGTTGCACTGAGGAGCCGATTCGAACGTGCTGGCGAGCTCGAAGATCTAGAGGCTGCTCTATCAATGCACCGTCACGCCCTCGAGATAATGCCTGATGAGCACCCTGATAAAATGGCCCTGCTGAACAACCTATCCATCTCCTTACGAGCTCGATTTGAGCTTCTTGGCGATCTTGACGACCTTAATGATGCGATATATGAGAGCCGCCGTGCTGTCGAGCTCACGCCCGATCAACATCCCGATAAATCGTACAGGTTAAATAACCTCGGCGTTGCTCAACAGAGGCTCTTTGCGCAGAGTCCCTCTCCAGCTTCTTTCGACGAGGCATGCGCCTGCTTCATGAGTGCGACGACTTTGCCGTCGGGTTCTCCATATACCCGTTTGGAGTCAGCCTTGCGCTGGGTCATGTTATCAACTCAGCATCCTGACTTCGCGAGTACGACTTCTCTCTTGGACGCCCATTCACATGTCATGCGCATCCTTCACGAAGTCGTATGGCTGGGTCACAGTCTCGATCGCCGTTACGAAGAATCTTCCCTGTTGGCTCAGGTCGTATACGACGCAGTGTCGGCTGCTATTGAATACGATGCGCTCCCACGAGCTATAGAGTGACTCGAAACAGGAAGATCTATCATCTGGTCTCAGTTTCTGGCTTTGCGCACCCCACTTGAGGAACTAGAGGTGCATTATCCCAAGCTATCGCGCTCGCTAGGTCTCATTCAGCAGCAACTACAACACTCGACTCATATCCTGCGCTCAGATAAGCTTCGTTTAGGCGGCGACTCAGACGGCGTTACTGCATATTCGTCCGGTGATACAGCCTTGGATCTACATCGCAAGGCTAGCATCGAGTACGATGCCTTACTATCACGAATCCGTGAATGTCCAGGTTTCGAGGACTTTCTACGTCCAAAGCCGTTTTCCACCCTACTTAAATCTCTCGGGTCTCTGCAGGGGTACTTCGTGTTCATAAACGTTCACGGTGCTTGCAATGCTCTCATCCTCGCTCCAGGCTGCGGGGAAGTCAAACGAGTAGCTCTCCCTGGACTATCCTTAGATGGCGCACAACAACTGCAGTTGTTGTGGATCGAACAACTTCAGTGGCGAGGAACGCGCGCTCGCGGCTCAAGTATGATAGAGGAACCTGTACCCTCTTCTCAGCTTGCGACGAGCATGAACGACCTTCGCCACACAGCTCGAATCGAAGACGATAGCCTGTCCTCTGATCGCCTCCTGGAACATTTGTGGGACTGGGTGGTGCACCCCATTCTGAAGGACCTTGGTCTAGAGCGTAATGTAAGTATGCCTGTGTAGCATGCATGGAGGCGAACTGCCACTCACCATACTTAAGGTACAGGGCGAGGCTCAACCTCACATCACTTGGTGCTCGACCGGGCCACTGACGCGTGTGCCCCTTCACGCTGCAGGCCGCTACAGTGAGCCCAATGGGCCACGCGCATACAATTATGTCGTATCGTCGTATGCGCCCTCCTTGTCGGCGTTCTCACGTGCGACCGAAGGTCTTGCGAAGAAAGCGTCCACTTCGAGCGTACTCATCGTGACGCAGCCTGAAACGCCGGGACAGCGTCCACTTCGGGGAACTCTGCAGGAAAGTCGGCGGCTCTGCCAACTGCTGGACGATTCGAGAATGCAACGCAATGTGTTGAACCATGAGCGAGCTACCCGTGAAGCCGTGCGCTCCGCCATGAACCGACATTCTTGGGTGCATTTCGCTTGCCACGGTTCTCAGCGCAGGAATGACCCTACCAAGAGCGCCTTTCATCTCTACGACGGACCTCTGTCGCTCTCAGACCTCATGCAAACCGTGTCAGATAACGCCGAGCTCGCATTTCTCTCTGCGTGCCAGACAGCGACCGGAGATGTGAATAACCCGGAGGAAGCCGTGCACCTGGCCGCGGGCATGCTCGCCGTCGGCTTCAAAGGTGTGGTGGCGACGATGTGGTCGATTGGAGACGCGGATGCGCCCGTAGTAGTGGAGGCATACTACAAGAAGCTATTGGAGTTGCGCACCACCGGTGCAGTTGGGTCCGGAGAGACCGGGGCCGCGTATGCGCTGCATGAGGCGGTGAAGATTTTGAGGGAGCGCGTCGGGGAGAAGAACTTTTTTAGCTGGGCCCCGTTCGTGCATTTCGGCGTATAGTACGATGCGTGTGGGGGTTGCTATGTGTCTCGTTCAGATTGGATTCATGAGTCTGGACAGTATCATGCATCTGCAAACCAGCTAGCGACTCACCCAAATAGTTTCTGCAGTAGTAGCGGACAATGTCAGCAACGGAGATGTATCGCATATATGAGTGTAATCGTCACAACCTGCAATAAAACAGATATGCAATGAAAGTGGAAGTAGTACACTCTGAGCTTCGTGGTGGTTCGGGAGGTAGATACACGGGGCCTGTATCACGCATGAAGTCACACGGCTTGCAGAGGTAGTTGTGAGCCTCGGGACTTGGCAAAAGGTTCAGCATCAGGCGGCAGCAAGGGAAGAAGGGCGCCCTGAGACTTATTCGCCGACCTGGTCGGCCAGGTTGAACATGGTGGTTGAGCACAGGCCGTGAGACGCGTCGCTCGAGGCGCGTCGACGTGGAACGCGTCTCGGACTTGGACTTCCTACATCATCAGTCCTGTACTTCGCTCTCAACGAGTAGGGAGAAATATATTGCGTTTGGCATAAGAGCTACCGCTCAGGCTGTGGGCTTCGGACCTCCTTGTACCTGTACCTCCACCGAGGCTCCCGACTGTGGAAGCTATTTGCAAGTTAGGTAACAATGCGTTCGACGCGCCTTTCACTTTGACCACCATCTTCATCATACCGCACGCGATGTCAAGCATCTGCCCACCAGAAGGCAACGGAACGAGTACTCCCCAAACAGTGCTAGCCCAAGATTCATACGATTCAAGAAGCGGCAGGCCTTCAACGTCAGCGCGCGCCGCCAGCCACAACCTCCCACCCGCCCTTGACTTCGAGCACTACTTCGTTGAGCAGACCTTCGATGGGCTTTGTGGCGATATTTCTCTTCTCACGTACTATCTCAAAGGCCATCGGTCTGGCGATCCGGACTCGGTGAAGTCCTCAGATCAAGGAGCGGCCCAATTCTGGAGTGGTCTGTCGTTCATCCTTGACGCCGGCGATCTCAACTCCAATATTAATGGGTCCGCTGTCGTGGCGGTCACCGGTCAAGTGCTCCACGACCGAGTCATTTCCGGAATCTTCGCTCGTAAAGGGACTTGCTGTGTTTCCCAAGACGTGGACGGCGGCGCGCCCAAGACAAAACGGACAGTTAACGTCGATCCAGTACGTCCGGCAGGACGGGGGACGGCCGAAGCTTTACTAGAATCATATCATACGGCAACGTATGTGGTCTTTCCTCGCATATGTCACTCAAACTATACACCTGTTCTTTCGAAGACCCGTCCCCTTCGCAATCCATCTGCAGGATATCGTCACCCTCATGGACTACATGACCAGCTCTCCACCAAATAGAGACACTGCTTTATGGACTCGTGTTCTTCGAATGTCGGCATTCATCCTCCGTCGGACGCACGTCAAGCATTGCGCTCGACTCCTCAACCGTCGCAACATCTGGACGGAATGCCCGATCCTGCTTATGCAGAAATGGTACAGAGATAATGATGTGAACTTTGCCGATACGACTGCCATCGTGAAAGCTGAGCGGGACTGGATCGGCCTTTTCAACCGAAATGGCATTCAATCAAATGGCAACGACCATACCTACCCCGTTACAGTCGAAAACGCCCAGTCCTGGCTTGACATTTTCAGCGAAATCTTGAACTTTATGGAAGATCAGCTCTCGATGGTGAAGAAACAGGGAAAGAGGCGAGGACAGCGGGTGTCCAGGCCCGAACCTCCCTCCGATGTTAAGAAATTGTGCGTGAGAGTCATGGCGCTCGATGCGCTTCTCAAAGCCAAGGTGCTTGATACCATCATCACTGGAGATCTTGCCAGGCATCTCGGATGCATGTATGGAAGGGGCATGGCAAAGAGATCGCGTATGTCAGGTGCGCGTTTTGTAGCGACCGCTTACGCTGGTTTGAACAGTCCAGTAACAGATCTGAGCAAGTCGACGGAGGAAGCGGACGAAGCCGAGGACGTGGGGGAATACGAACGTATGCCTGTTTCCGTCGCCTACCAGGTCCCCTGCCTTACTGGGAATACAGCGGACGACGATATGGAGGCCGCCGAAGACTCTCGGCAGCACGTCATCCGATATCTGAAGACTCTTACTGCAGCATACAGTGCCGTCACACACCTAGTGTGGCGAGCTGCTCAACGAGGGCAGGTTCCGCTCGCCACATACAGGTTCGACATCGATCCTCCCGTTGTCAAGATTTCAGAGGAAACGGTCACAGGGTTCAGGACGAGATTTCTCGACGTCTTCAATGATTCGCCTAGATATCGCGAAGCCGCCGACACATTCTTGAACCGCAACAGAGTCGACGTGCGCCAGATCAGCTACAAGACAGCTGTACACGCCGAAGCAGCACTCATGGGCATCGCGTACGCTAGCACCTTCCATTCTCCGCAGGTACCACAGCCAGTGGATCCCGCCCAGCCTGAACGTGCGGCTTTGGACGTCTTTCCGGTGTGTCTTCCTGATGTCGTTACCCTTTGTGAAATGTGCCCACTCTGCCTCTAGTCGAATCGTCAGGATGCTATTGCTATCGGCGTAAGCAAGAAGTGCTGTTTCTGCTGCCACATGCTCGCCGAACTGCTTGCGCACCGAACAGAGCACGTCGACAGTCCGAGACCTCGATTTGTCCTCCCCGGAACGCATGCCACTATCTTACCATGGACGGCGCCCGCCGTCGGTGTCCCTCTGGGCGTTCTTCGAGAGATGCGGACGCGGCTGCTGCACATCCTCCATTCTGCCGCGTCTTCTGCGCAATCACAACAGGCTTCAAATCAAACATCGCCTGCGTTTTCGAGTAACGATTTCGAATCCGTATTGCCGTCGGACCTTATGTCTATCTTCTAGTATCTTGAAGTCGCCGGCTCTGTATGAATACTTTGATGTTCGTTCACCGGCACGCTTATAACTGTCTACATATCTCTCGTATATTCACGCTCTCAACTGGTACACGGAATGCCTTCGTAGCATTAGCGCATATGATCATGATAGCATCCATAACAACAGTGCGGATTTCCCGGAAAGAACTGTTACAACGCCTCGGGCGGCGGGCTCGGGAACCTCTCCGCCCCGTGCCGAAAGTGAGCGATGAACGCCTTCGCTTCACGACCCTCCTTCCTCTCCTTGTTCAGCTCCTCCTTCAAGTCCCTCTCGCGCACTTCGCACTCCGCGTGAATGTTGATATCGCCGGACGGCCCGGGAGAGGATGATGTTGGTGGAAACCCGGCGAAGGCGGGAGGCAACTGATCGGCATCAGCCGCCGGCTCGTCGTCTACATCCATTCCCTCATCGTCGTCTTGAGCGAGGTTGAATGTTTGGCGCAATGCACTAGGACCCGGACGGGACGGCGAAATGGGCTCAGGTCGGACTTGACGCGGAGCCTGTTGAGGTTGAAGAGAGCTTGAAGGAGTTGGCAGGGATGCCGCGGGATTCGTTGATCTCGCCGGTGTGAACGGAAGAGCTTGATGGGATGGCCCCATCACTGTCGGCGTCCGCGCCAGCGCGGCTTGATTTTGAACTGCTATCCTACGACGCGCTTCTGCTGCTTGAGCCTCGTCCCTCTAGTATTAATCGGACTAAGACGCGAGATCGGGTGAGCAGTGTGCAAAAACGTACCTCCTGCTGGAGACGCGCCACCAGACGACTCAGTCTTTCGTTCTCTGCTTCTGATGCATGAGCCCTTTCAAGAGCCAGGAAATGCTGCATGAGTCATGATGCAGAGTCAGCCCATCAAGGTCGCAAAGGAAAGAAAGGCGGAAAACGCGTACCCTCTCAGCGACTGCATTTCCTGCGACCGGTCCAACTTCCTTGGCAATCATAGACTGCACCTTCAGATACTGGCCCTTGCCAGACGGCCATCCGCTAAAACGGTTGTGTATTGACTGCGCCCTATGAATGCAAACGGTGATAAGTTAGTTGGCATGACCAGCGCGGGACCAATCCACGTACAGTTGGCGTCCAAGGGCGGTTAGCGCGAGATGATAGTCCCCCCGCCACTCAATGATATCGTTGCCCAGCTATGCAGAATGCATGAGCTTTGTACTTGAGTGACAGAGATGACGACGAAGCGGGGATCGCACAATCATGAGTATGCCATTATTCTTGATGCCATTCTCCTGCGTCTGTTTTTTGGCTTTGGAAAGCCTCTTCTTCTTCATCAGTTCGAGCGCTGCGAAACGTTCGTCAATTTGGTGGCAAGAGCGGACGATTTATTGAGGGTGACGCATGAACACATACCGGATTCGCAATATGGCTTCAAAGCAATCGCATCATTCTTTACTTGCAGAACACGATGCGCGTCTGCGCGCAGCGTTTTCTGCGCGATGGTGATCAAACATACTTGAGGCGTGAGCGGTTAGCAGGGTGACGATAACCATATGGGGACGTTGTGCGTACCAGCTCGGTATGTCATTCTGAGTCGGGTATGAGCTGGTCGCTATGGACAGGGAGTTCGGAGAATGAGATTGTGCGTTGAGACGACGGTCGAGGCGAAAAGCCGGGCGAGAGGAGGGAGGGCGAAGTACACTGGACTACAATGTCCAGGTCGTCAGGCCTTATATGTCCCACACATGAAGCGGATCGTCAACGCTAGCGCATGCGCTCAAAACTACAAAGAAAGGTTGCCTGATGTGGGCAGCCCTTCCAGCCCCGAGCTAACGGAATCGCGTAGCGACTAGAGCGGCCGTGTTTTGTGGAACGCATAGAGATCTGCGCATTGACAGAATCGCATGCAGAGCATGGTATGGAGGAGCAACGAGGCTCGCGCCGTAAAGAGTGTTCGCTACGCATCACGGCGTCTGCCGTGTGTCGCAAGCCGCAAAGGCCTTCCCGCTCGATAGCGTAGCACACACAGCGCAATACGTATGTCAGACCGAACGTAGAAGACGGAATGATGGTAGTGGATTTCATCTTGGTCAGAGCTAAAGCTGGTACAACATGGAAACGAGCTTGAGAGCGCGCTGGCGAATATGTAGCAGATCCTCCATCTTCAGCCCGACCGATACGGAGGCGTACGAGCGGCTCCTCACCTGCTGGGCTTGGGTAAATCGCAACATCCTCCTTCTCCGTATCCCCTCTGACGCCTCTGAGCTCCTTTCGACCGCTCAAGACCGCGCTGCCCCGTGGATCCCGGACCGGGAACATTGGTTCGTCCGTGCCCATTGGGGCCTCATGCCGCGACTGCGCGTACATAAGAGTACTTTGCGTTCTGCGGTTGCATCCGAGAGCGCGTTGAGCAAAGAGCTTGAGCTGTTCGTGGTCCGGATAGAGATGGAAGATCCGCTGAAGTTGGTCGAACGCTATTCTGGAGGCGCATGTTGTTGTGCACAGGTAGATACTTGGTCGGATGATGCCGAGTGGTAGGCGGCTTTCAGCGCTGTAGAGCTACGCTGCTGTCCTGCTAGGCGGAAGCAGCGCGCGCAGTGATGCGATTGACGAGAAACGAACATGAGAGATGGGGCCAAGTTACAAAACGCGTGTCCAGACGCGGCGCGGTTATTGCAGTGCAAAGGTGATAAGTACAGTAGAACCGTAAACTGTAGACTATGGAAAAAACTATGAGACAGTCCACCGCAGAACCCTCTTATATGTAACAGTACACAGAACTCGGACGAAATTATATTCAGACTATGACGAAGATGATCCTCCCCCGCCGAACAAACGGATCAGGTTCTGTATGGCCCCCGCGCCAAGAACGTGGGCGGCTTGCTGGGCTATACTAACGGCCTGATCTTTGGCCTGCTCGAGATCGCGTATGCGCTCCTCGCAATGCGCGTGTATGTTCGTGTTGGAAGGTCCCGGGGTGGGGGGAGGGGAAGCGGGCGCAACGGGACGTGCGGTTTGTGGTAGTCCATCGACGTCAGGCACCGGAACGTCGTCGTTGAATACGTCCATGGGTTCGTCTTCGCGTATCGGGGAGCCGAGAGAGCGATGAGATGACGACGGTCCGGGTCGAGTCGGTGTGGTGGGTGCAGCTCGAGAGCGATGGCGCGAGGGTCTTGGGGTCGGGCTTTCAGGCGTGGGGATCGTCCCCGCAGGGTTTTTGAGCCTGGCTGGCGTGAATGGCGCGTTCATTGGTTCGGGCATGGACTGAGTTCGCGCCAGCGCGGGTTGAGACAGTTGCGCTTGCTCACGGCGCACTTCGGCCGCGCGTAATGTACCCAGCTGCGCAGAGAAAGCCTGTCAGCGGGATATCCCCACATTGAAGTTGCGTATTGACCATACCTGGCGCTGGAGGTCCTCAGTCTGCTGTTCGGATGCCGCAAGTCGAGCCCTGGTTTCCGATAAAAGGTTGTTCAAGAAAGCCTTGTCTTCCGACGCCTCAATAAGCTAGAAAACCCATGTTAGTCTCACTCCTCCGGACCTGAGATATACAAAGCGCGACGCACTCCTCTTGAGGGCTTGTTATGCTTCCTGAGTCCTCCCACCTGCACCATCATGTTCTCCGCGGTCTTGGACTCGATCTTGTTCGCCGGCCAGCGCCTGTTCAGATGATTACGGATCGTGGTTAATCTGCGAGAGTATTATTCAGTGCACGTCAGTGGAATATACAATGTAAACCAGACGCACACATTCAGCCCGCGATCAGTGCACGTCGCAAAATCCGGACGACGGTACTCAATCATGTTCGTAGTAAGCTGGTGGGGAGTACATCAGACCGACGGCCCTATCACGGTTTCCGAGTAGTGCACGTACAAGATAAGTCAACCCGTTCTCTATCAGCCCCGCTTGTTTCGTTTGAAGCTTCTTCGTCCTACAGAGGCCGGTACCGTTCAGCTCTGGAATGCCTATACCGCCACAACTAGCGTCAGTCAATCATAAGATCCTCAGTCTGTCCAGCTCACCAATCTCCCCCAGCCTTGATACATCCGTCGTGTCATCTTCCCGTCTGATGAGAGTGCCGTCTAAAGCAGACTCAGTGGTCTCTTTTCCTATGTACAATAGGACGGCTTGAATAAGAGCAGTCAGTGTCAATCGCCAAAGACGTGTCAAACAACATACAGATTGCATAACCCTGCGTAGTCATATCGTTGGAACGAGTCCGCGCGTCCGAGTATCGGGTGGTAGCGGTAGAGTTCTGGTGAGTGGATGGTGGTATACGGCCTCAAGCCGTATCGTTGACCCGCCTTTATAGCTCCAGAGTTCAAGGGATCGTCTGTGCACAGAGCACGCGAGCGGTCATCTCTCTTGGTGGCGGTTGGTCTCTACCTGCCAAGGCCACAAGCGCACAGCACGGCGGCCTCCGCATACGGTTACAGTCTTTGTGAAAGCTGGCATCTCCATTCAAAGTCACAAAGCGGAACATGAAGGTTTGGGAAGAACAACGATGGCGAGCCGCGGCTATTGGTCGCCGTGTGCACGGCGGTTGCCGTGCTTCGGCGCCTGTGTAGTTCGCTTTGGACCTGCTCACGGTATTTCGCGCACCTCTTGTTGCGGATGATCCCGCGGCTTCGACACATCACACGGCAAGCGCCGACACATTATATGAGAGCAGAAAAGACAGTGATTGATTTATGCGGTAAAGACTGGATGTAGTAGCAAGATAACAAAGAGCAACCTGAAAGCCAGAGAAGATGAGAGTTAGAGTCCCGGGGTACTTCTTGATTCTTTAGTTGATGTTGACCGTGTAGGAGGACCTGCAAGGAACGCCATCAGTGACTGAGCGCACAGAGAAAGAGTATGAAGAAGGACGCACGTGGTGAGGGTGCCCGAGCCCGAGGTGGCTTCGCTACCAGCCTGGAGGGTAGTAAGGTACTGCGACGACGAGAGCCCCTCGTTGTTGATGAGGTACTGTGGAGTATGATCAGACAAGAAAGAGAAGCGACTCGTGTCACGGATCGGCAACATACAGTGAAGAAGGCCTTGAGATCGCCGCTGAAAGAGGTGATAGTTCCCGACGTCGGCAAGAATGAGAAAACGACGTTAGCGCCGTTTGTGCCCTCACTAGTTACCTGGTCAGCTGATGTGCGTGATAAATAGCAGGAAATGATGCGAACTAGAGGTTCCAGGTGTGGCCTGCGACGCTGATGCTGCTCTTGATGGCAACGGGCTGGCCAGCGGAGTTGTAGTTGTACGAGATGGGGCCCTACAGAGCTATTAAATTCTTTGATCGTATGCGAAGTTGAGAGCAGAGCACATACCGCATTGTAGTTAGCAAGCCAGACCATGATCTCGTACTGAGAAGAGCCGCCGGACGTCGAGCTCGTGAACATGTCATAAGCCACGTTTGCGACGGCACTGCTACCAATCGAGTACGACCACTTCCAGATGGACTATGCACAGACGTGAGCTATCACATAACACAATCCAACAAGTACGAGACGTACGTTCATCGTGCCGATCGAGGAGAGCTTCCTGTTAGCGTTCGCGTTCTGCTGCACGTTGGTATAGCTCTTGATGCCACTGCCGCCCGACCACGTCCATGTGTTGGTCCAAGCAATGGTGTTCGAGGACTGCGAGGTGATAGTGGCACATCCCGAACCGCTCACACCCGATCCGACGCCCCATTCGTCGGTGAATAGAGTGTACGTTCCGGCGGTCACCTGGTCATACTGGCCACAGTACGTCTGGAGCTTGCATCAGTATGGTGTAAAAAGATGCGTCTCAATGGCTTGAGGAACTCACCGTTGCGCGAGTCGCAAGCTCCGCGGGTGCGGCGAGAGCAGCGAGGGGAAGGGCAAGACCGGCAAGAGCAAGAGCGAGCATGATCGGATACCAACGTCGTTGAAGAAGCCGGGACAAGTCATGCCTTCGTTATATAGCCGGGGATATATCTGGGAAGATGACGGAGCAGCATGGCAACATGGTCGTCTGGTGGACCGCGTTCCTCGCTGCGAAGGCTACGTGCTTGCCGTCCGCGTTGGAAAGAAGCTTCCAGACAACAGCCGGGCGGGATGCCTGGCCTCGGTCATTTTGCAAGTCGCGGCCCGCTGGCGGGTGTACCTGCCGGACGCCCCGAGCAGATCGGACCTGGTCGGTCACCTTGGCTTCCGAGATCATCATCCGAACGGTCACAGCGCGCCGGATATGATGGTGTGCGAGGTGTGGCGTGTAGCCAGTTTATCCGAGGGCTGCATGTTCTGACTATGCGCGGAGTCTGTAGGTCGTAGAACGGATGCCAAGTGCTCTTTAGTCTTCAGAATCGGAGCAGGCCAGCTGTAGGGAAGGGAAACGCCGCCGGCGCGCGACTTCGACGCATATGCACAGACGAGTGTACAAGACCGACATTGTGAGGTACGGCAATGTTATTTGGATCGAGGCCGACACAATCGCAACTGCCGCCGTCCGTGGTGGGCGATGGCAACATCCGCGAAGCGGAGGGCCTGGTCGAGCGCGCGACTGTTCTCGCTGCCGTCATATTCCCACGAACTTCGATGTACGCATACATGCCACAGATCTCCTGATACATTTAGCGTAGTCTATCCTACAGTCTCATCCCATACAGCTGCTGTACATTAGAACCCTCCAAAGCCTGCCTGTTGAGCTTCGCGCTCGGCAATACTGCCCCGTGGCGCCCACTGCTTGACATGTGCGAGATCGACCTCTCCCACTCCGGCGGCTGACCCGTCTGGCGCCCCCCAACCTCCGCCTCCAGGCGTCTCAATGAGCAGGCGATCCCCTTTGCCCATCCGAAGTGTTGCCTTTCCGCCAACATTGATGCGGCGCGTACCCGGCTCGAGAGCGGAGCGCGATTGACCGGTGTGCTCGTCCAGCACGGCGGGGTCTACGGGGAGTGCGGGCGCGTGGAGCGCGTTCTCTGCGTCGGCTTTCGATGGAGGGAGGTCACCGTCTACGGCGCGAGCTCGCTTGATCCAGGTGTTGCGTCCGAGGGCGGCAGGTCCTCCACCTTCGAGCCCGTAGGGTTGCCTGGTTCTCCGCTGCGATGTGTAAGAACCGCGTCCAGATATCAGGAGGGTGGAGGCGTACCTCGCTCATGATGCTGACTTGCAGCTCCTCTGTGAACTCAAGATCTCGAATGACGCCTTCGCCACCCTTGTACTTCCCATCTCCACCAGAACCCTCGCGCAGACCGAAGCGGTGTACAAGTACAGGGTACCGACGCTCGAGGATCTCGACGTCGCCGATACGAGTATTTGTGATATGCGTGTGAACGCCGGAAGTGCCGTGCCAGGATGGACCGGCGCCTGAACCACCAGCGATAGTCTCATAGTAGCCCCAACCGGCCTCAACGTTCCCTTGCGCGTCTTTCCCGCCTGCTCCAAATGTGAGATTATTGGTGCAGCCTTGAGAAGCAGCACAGGCGGAGAACGCGCGGAGGACAACGTCGACGATACGTTGTGAGGTGAGTACGTTGCCGCCACATACAGCTGCGGTGCGCGAGGGTGCGAGCAGGGAGTTAGGTGGGATGCGAACTATACAGCTGATCAGATATCGGCGTTCATTTAACAGTCGGAGGTGGCACGTACTTTCCAAAGGAACAAGACATCCCGCGTTGAGGGGAATGTCTGAGTCCAACATTGCGCGCATGCAGTAGATGACGGCCGAGTGTACGACGCTGACCGGCGCGTTGAGGTTGCCGCGCACTTCCCAACCCGTGCCATCGAAGTCAAAGACAGCGCTTCCAGTCTCAGGGTCGATTTCGATGCTCAAACAGATCTGCGTGGTAGATTTGTAAGCACGATATGGCAAATAGCGCAGATTGGCGACTCACTGGAGAACCATCGTCTAAGAAGTCGACCGCTGAGAGCTTGTTGCCCTTCTCCTTCGCAACCGTCTGTAATAGTTTCCGCACCGATGACTCGGCATTAGAGCGAATGTGCAGCATGTACTCTTGCACCGTCTCGAGCCCATAGTCCTCAACAACTAGAAGAACGAAGTCAGCACCCGTGCCACTCGCATCAAGGTGGTCGAAGGTGTACTTTGGTGGATGAGTTGCGCGCCCTTATGGTTCGCGGCGATCTGCGCTTTGAGATCGCTCTCCACATCGCGAATGTTCCTGCACCCCGAACTGCCGGGGTAGCGCGCAGGGGCGTCTATCATCCGCTCATAGAGGCCCTTCTGGTCGAATGCACCGCCCGACACGATCTTGAACGACACGATCTCGGCGCCTTCCTCGAAGATAGAGACAGATGTAGGTGGCATGCTCCCAGGTAGGATACCTCCGATATCTGCATGATGCCCGCGCGAAGCAGTAAAGAAGATTATCTCCTTCGTCTCGGGGTGGAAGACGGGCGTTATGACAGTAATATCAGGAAGGTGCCTATTATGCACCGCAGTCAGTCAGCAGTTACAAGGACGCTCGTAGTTGTACACAGCCGGGACGTACGATCCTCCAGCGTGCGGGCTATTTGTCATGAGGACATCGCCCTCCTTCAGATCCTTCCCGTACAGCTTCATCTGATACTTGACAGCGAAGCTCATAGAACCTAGATGAATGGGGATAAACGGCGCATTGGCCACAAGATCCCCATCTGGTGCAAAAAGAGCGCAGGAGAAGTCCAGGCGCTCCTTGATGTTCGTCGAGATAGACGTCTGCTGTAGCGAGCGACCCATGGCCTCAGCTACTGACATAAAGCGGTTCGCGAAAAGAGTGAGCAGAATGGGATCGGCATTGTTCCTTGCAGGTTCAGACATGAGAGATGACGCGATAGAGTAGTGTCGTAGTTTGGGTCAAGTGGTGCCCGCTCATAACTCGTCTGTGGCCGTCACCAGCAGAGACGCGGGGCGCCGTCGTTTCCGGCATCGGTGTATCGGCCCGATGCGCCACGCGGCCGATACTCGACGTGCAACTGGCGCGCTTCTTTCTTCTTGCCATGTTGTTGCACGTACGGGCTGTGACCGCGCTCTGCTTCCGTCGGAAGTAAGCCCTTCCCTTGAATCCCATCCTATACTCCGAGTTCGCGTGGCTAGCTCCATTAAGTTGGCATTGCCTTGGGCCTACGCGTGCGGAATAGTCACAGCGTCTTCGCTTCAACCATGTACTTCTCACAGCTCCCAGAGGCGGGTCCCTCTCCCCTCCACCTCCTTTGAGATCGTGCTCTACTTTTGCTCGGCCTGACAAATATCATGCGCCCCTGCGACGTATACGTGAAGGAGCTATCTACGCTCTCGCGAGGGCATGCTGTCCACAACCCTCGGCGCGACAAATTCCAGTCCGGTCGCGGGCTTCGCCCCGCTGTCGACGTTGGCGATGTTGCATACGATCTTGACGGGATGCTGATACGCTTGTTTAACTGCTTATTGCCACGAAATCAACAGGACGAGGATTGCGTCTTCCCAGATGACTTCGAAATTCTCGAGCTGGCCGATTCGCGTAGCATTCATGGTCAACCCGCGCGCATTATCGTCAAGGAAAATCACAGTCGTCCCGGACCATTTTACTCCAAAGGTGTTCAAATGGTGAAGGTGGAAGCTAGTGTATCCGCAGCGTGAGTGTTCCGATGTCGTTTGACTGGGGTATCTTATATAGTACCGGATCGTAGCTCTTCGGCCGGCGCGCGGATCGCGTTCCGCGCCCATCACGAACAAGGCGCTGTCCTACTCACGTCCGGACCCATCAGAACTCGTCAGAGTCCTAATCGTCCCGCTTTTGAGAAGTATCTGGTGAAACACTTCGATGCATTGTGCCTGCTTCTGCAATCGCAGGAATTGGACGTTCAGCCTGAGGAGTTGATGTTGATCACTGGCGTTGACACCACTGCCGCCTGGTCAAACCTATCCTTCACCGAGGGTCAGATTGAAGGCGACTTCGGCGTGAACATACCGAGCGCTAGTCCTATTGAGATACGAGTGGCGGCCAGCATGGAGCTAAGCAGGGCACAGTCTGTTACTCGGGATTCGGGTCCTAACCCAGAGGATATGGAAATCAAATGTGCCCTCTCATCGGATGCAAACGCGTCCGATATACCAAAGAGTACGTCGTCAGTTGGGTCATAGGCGCACTTCTCATAACGAGCTCACACATTTCTCGCAGAGGAGATGTTACCTAATCAAGTTGTGTTTGTTCGTGCACTGCGGGGGAAAAGACGTCTATTCCGAGGACTGAAGATTATCGCGAATGCCGACCCTGAAGGCTTGTCTGGTGGACCATCCGGCGATGGGGATAGTTCGGTGCTTAGTATTGAGAATGTTGAAGACCGAGCTTCGGTACGTAAAGCTAGCCAGCAATGTAGACGAGCGCCACTGAGTCTTTTCGAATAGCGAGAAGACTTTTTGACCCCAGTCCTCGATCTCATCCTTGCGGTAATCTCTAGCAAATCTCAAGTAGTGATCGATGTTGAGAAAATTGACCTTCGTCTAGAACTCTGATGTAGACATGGCCGTCGTTCATGATGATGATTATGACTTTTACAACCAATACGTCTCGAGGCAAGCCGATCCGTCCGCGCCTGTGAGCCTTGTGTCATGTCGGGGCGATGAGGGAGCCATATTTGGTGTGTATTACTCTGACTCACTTTCACTTTGCATGTGCTTCTATTCACACATATCACGTAGGTGTGCTAGACGTGCAGGCTAGCAGCGCAATGACCTCAGGATATAGTGGGACTTTGTCAAAATCACTGGAAACGACCAGCCTCGAGGACGCTGATATACATGCTCTCGGCGGATCACAATCATCATACGAAACGGTTCTGGACTCTGAAGCTGGTATGATCCCTGCACATCCGATATATATCCTAAACCTCACGATCATCATAGTAGGCCTTGAAAACATAACGACCTTGAACGGACTTGAAGAACATTTGACATCGGAGGCCTGCACCTCTGCAACACCGCGTGATTATGAGAGACCACTATCCCATCGTCAATGGTACTGATGCGTCACTGCAGTGGATACCACCCCTTCTCTCTCACGTTTGAGCTCTCCTTCGCACATTGGGCACTCCATCGTCCGCCCTGAAGCAACCGCGCAATCTGGCCACCTCTACACTACTCAAGATATGCTCTCACCAGGCCACATTGACTCCGCACTAACTAGCCTGGATCGTACCATTATCTTTGGCCTCCTCGAGCGCAGCCAATTTGCGCATAATCCGCGCGTCTACCAGCGTGGCGCTTTTCCAGAACTCGTCAAGCTCGGGTTTGAGGGAAGCTGGGTTGAATGGTTCCTCAAGGAAACCGAGAGCTTCCACGGTGACCATCCAATGTCTGTCAGCTACGGATCCGCATGCATCTAACCATGATAACTAGCTAAAGCACGACGCTACACTTCCCCGGACGAGTGCCCATTCACGCCTCTGTCTGAGCTACCCGGATCAGTCCTACCCACTCTCGCGTACCCTTCGTTATTGCATCCGAACCGTGTGAACGCCAGCAAATCTATTCTCGCATTTTATACCCGCAGCATTGTTCCGCGCATCACCGCCGGCGCCACTCACGCGCTCGCAGCGTTTAAACGATCCATGGGCGTCATTGGGGAGGATGAGCAGGAGGATGACGGAAACTACGGTTCGGCGGCTACGCTTGATGTTGCATTATTGCAAGCGATGAGCAAGCGAGTTCATTACGGTCAGCTGCTATCCATGCAGCCATACTATCATAATTCATACTGACTGCTTCTTAGGCAAGTTCCTCAGCGAGAGCGAGTTCGTTGCCGCCCCCGCCTCTTTCATCCCGCACATACGTAACCTCAATACGGAAGCTCTGGAAGAGCTCATCACCAAGCCTGAACTGGAAACACGATTGCTGCAGAGTCTGCGACAGAAAGCACAGCTATATGCACAGGGATCCGCCTCTGACGGTGAAGTGCTTCCCTCAGAAAAAGGAAATTTCGATGTCGACATTGTCGTGGATCTCTACGAAAGCTACATGCTACCACTTATGAAGGAAGTTGAGGTGAGAGTGTCATATATCCGACTGAACACTATGCCAACATCTGCGCAGGTTGACTATCTCCTTCAACGCCTGGAAGGCCTGTCGACCGAAAGGATAGAAGCCCTGTTGAAAGGCGCCAGGGTAGACTGACACTATCAGCGTCGCCGTTGCAAATATATCGACATGTTAGTGTGTAATCGTCGTCTGATTGTCTACAATCTTTGTTCTCGAATTCACCATGTGACAATTAATTACTGAATAAGTGTGACCTTTCTCACCGCTGGCGCCACACGTTTTCATGCTAGTATTGGAGTAGACATTGTTCTATCACTGTTGAACCCATGTCAGGTATTGCAGACAAAAGGGATGGATGGTGGAGAGAAAGAAAAGGTCAGAAGTTCAAGGAAAAAATAGAGGGCATGCACCGACGCGGCCACGTGCCCGATCACATGAAGTTCGACTTCGGCGCGCGTGGTTGCCATCGACGGCCGCGGGTCCGACGGCAACGTAGCCACACCCAAACCACCACCACCAGCCGTACGCGGCATTTCCTGCGACACCATGACCTCCTCTCCCCCAACTATGCTGAGCGCACTACCCACCCCGTCCGGCTCAACGTCGATTTCATCCTTGCTAAACTCTCTACACTCGCATCTCCAATCGCAAACGCAATTATTGCCGGCTTTACATACACAACTGGGCTTGCCACCGGCTGCGCTAGCGGATGAGCTGTCGCTGTTGCAGCAGTCGCTTACACGATGTGTGGAGGAGCAGATTGATGGGAGGAGAAGGGAGGTCGACCAGTGGATGTTGAGATGCGAGGAGGCGGAGGCGGAGTGTGTGAATTACAATGCCGTGCTGGGGAGTGGTGTGAAGGGTTCTGGATGCAACTTCGGAGAGATCAGGAAGGAGCATGTGCTACCGAAACGATACGAGCTCTTGACAGAGATGCAGGAGAGGTTACGACGGGTGAGCGCTGATCTAGACGAACTATCGGTGAATTATGACTGACATACTGGCCTCACAGGTGTACCATACAAAACTAGAGCAACTTCTGACTTTAACAAGTCGAATTGCTACGCTTGTACGAACACTACCCGACGGCTTCTACCCTGACGACCTGCTCGAACCACTCATGGACGGCCACATATCCGCACATCGAGATGTCTCACCTGAGCGCTTCGCCAAACTAGAAAAGGAACTTGTACGAGGGAAGGGGGAGATCGTAAGTAATATTGTTACCTTACCGGGAAAGCCGTTGCTCAATGAGTCTCTAGACGCGACGTCTCCAGTACCTCGGCTCCGAATTCGTCCAAATCGACTACCTTCACTCCGAATTGGGCATCGCTCTACCCGATCTGGATCTCGAAGAACCATTGTACCAACCTGCCGCTTCATCTCTCGGTTTGGCGCCCATATCCCGGCCACCCTCCGCTCTCGCCGCCAGCTCAAGCCAATACGGCCAGCCAGATCCCTTCTTGGTTGCCACGCCTACGCCGAGCATGCGCAGCGCTTCAATGTACTCTGGTCCACCGTCCGCATCTACATCCGCATTTTCACGTACTATGCCCCCTGCACCACCGGAAGAGGACGAGCGCCTGTATCAGCGCATCTTCGGACGCTTCGCGGTGGCCATCGAGAACGCAAGCGAAGAGGATATCGCAGCCGTTGAAGCCGGACGTAAAGTTCTCGGTCTCGACGGCGTACAACCCACACCCGGTCTATTAGACTGGGCCGTAACGATGCGCGGTGCACTCGAACAGCTCAAGCGCGCTCGCGAAGTAGCCATCCAGGCCATGTACGATCAACTGGAGGTCTTGTGGCGGAGAATGGGTGTACCGGACACACAGATGGATGCGTTCGTGGACGCGAATCGCGGTGCGACGGAGGAGGTTGTTAGGGCGTATGAGCAGGAGTTGGACGGGATGCTGGAGCTGAAGCGGGAGAGGATGGCGGAGTTCGTGGAGAATGCGCGGGCGGAGATTGCGAAGCTCTGGGAGGAGCTTATGTTGGGCGAGGAGGAGCGCACTGAGTTCGCTGCTTACTACGACGGTATGCGTTTTGTACTAGACATCTCCCGACGGTTGCTGATCATGGCGTTATAGACGAGTTCACTGAGGAGCTTCTTGTCATTCACGAAGACGAGATCCGGCGGTTGAAGGAGGAGCGTCGGGAGAAGGCTCATCTACTCGGTAGCATCAAGCGCTGGTTCGAGATCTGCGAAGAGGAGAAGGAGCTCGCGGCTTCAGCTGCAGACGTCTCGCGCTTGACTGGTCGCGGCGCGCGGGATCCAGGACGATTACTCCGCGAGGAGAAGATGCGCAAGCGAGTTAAGAAGGAGAAGCCAAGAGTAAGCCCGTCCATTCAGACCGCGCAGAACTAGTACTGACGAAACTGCCATCTAGCTCGAGCAAGAGCTCATGGTCGCTATCCCCGCCTGGGAAGCCGACTCTGGCCGGCCCTTCCAAGTTCACGGCGAATCTGTCCTACAACTCCTACTCGAATCCGGCTCCGGCTCCTCTTCCGACTCAGGCAAGGAGAACAAACGCGCCGGCCGTCCTCCACCCGCACGAGCAGGCTCAGTCCCAGCACGCGCCACCACACCCGAAACGCACTCCCAGAACCGACGGGCGGCACAATCACGGCCGGCAAGTGCAGGTTCCACCAAACGACCAGCGCCTTCCAGCTCGGACTCGGAGTCGAACAAACGCCAACGATTGGGCAACGCATCAGCGAACAAGATCCCACCTGTACCGCCGTTACCGAGCAATAGCAAACTCGTGATGCCCATGCCCGTTAAAGCGTCTGCTGGCTCGACGCTCCCTCGACCCACAGCTATGCGCGCACAACACGCGGCGTTAGGCCACGGTCGCGCACCGCCGAATGTACGGCCGGGTATACGGCAAGTCAGCGCGCCTGCTGCACAAGCGCAAGCACGGCTGGCTAGCGCGGGTGCGAGAGCAGGACCAGATCCGCAGACGGCCGCGAAGAAGGCGAGCAGAGCGAGGAGGGAGAGCTTCAAGCCTCGACCGAGTACGGATGCGGGGTGGGCACCTCAAGCGCAGCGCTTTGGCGGATTGGAAGACGGCGGGTTGAAGGAGGAAGAGGAGGACGGTTGAGCCGTCCGCATTATGAGTTGCGACTTTTCATGTTACGGACACGTTTTCCCTTCGTTATTTCTTTATATATCTCACTGATGTGCGCTTGGATCTCTACTGATGTTTCTTGGGGGCGTTGTGCGAGCAGTGTACGATTCTGTGTAGTTTAGATATGATACAGCCATGACTATCCGTTTGGGCGCCCGAGGCGTCATTCCTCCTCAGACTTGTGAACACAACGCAAAGCCAACCTCAGGACAGGCCAAGTGGCAGAATTTCGCAAAAGTATATATTTGATCACGTTTGCAGGGATACATCACAAGAATGGCGGAAAAAAGAGAGAGCCGCCCGTTTATATCTGGGCCGGCGTGAGCATATTGCCGCAGTCTTCACTTCGACCGCACAATGCCGCCAAAGGCGTCAATATACTTGACTTTGTGGCCCTGCCGTACTCGTCAGCATAAAGCAATGAATGACAAGCTGACTGAAGCATACCTTGCCAATGGAGATGCTAATCGTCTCGTCCGAGCCACCATACTCCTTGTTCGGCGCCTTGTGGTCCAGACGAGCAAGAAGATTGTCCGTCACGACAGATACATGCTTCTTGTACTTCTTGAGCCTGTTGCGCTCGGCATTGTCGACGACGTCTCCGATGCAGAATACGCCGGGGAAGTCGGGTAGCTCGAGGGTCGATGCAACGGGTATCATCCCGCGCTCGCTGACCGCCGTCGGGCCTAAGGAGCGGGCAAAGTCCGTCGCAGGTGTACCTCCTGTGGCGTGAACCTGAGCGTTGAGCAATCTGCATCGGGCTTTGGGATGACTGCGAGGCGTACCACTACATCCGCGGGGAGGATCTTGCCCTTGCGGGTCGTGACCGTGCCGTTGGTAGGCTCAGTCGCGTCGAGGTAGTCCTCAAGAACGAACTCAATGCCGATGGACTGGCAGACTTTGAGGGCACGCTTGCGGAAGGAGTCGTTGTAGACGCTGTTGAACGGGAGCGAGCGGCTCTGTACAATGGTGACACTCTTGTCCTGCATCAAGGATCATTACCTGATCGCATTCCCGAGAGCGGAGCTTCACTCACAGGATACAGACTCTTGATCTCTCCCGCAATCTCTAGCTAGGCGTTAGCCTCAGTTATACCGAATCAGCGCGTACACGTACCAACGCTGACAGGACCTCCTCCACCGAATACAATGTGCTTCGCGTTTTTAAACTTGGCCCGCCACTGGTCGATGTACGCGGTGGCACCCGCCATCGAATCGGGATACGCGAGCGGATCGTCGAGGCGCATGCCTGGTGCAAGAACGAGGATATCATAGTGCACCCGTTCCTCGTTGCTGAGCACGGCATATCCGCCCTTCTTGTATGCCTTTCCCTCGAGACGCGCGACCCAGCCGAGCTTGAGCTTCGCGAAGTCCGGGCTAACGCCGCGGAACTCGTCGTACAGAGAGCGCAGAACGCGCCTCTCAGAGTGTCCAGAGCCGTCGACTGCCATGCGCACAGTGCGCGGGAGGTGGACGTAGAACGGACGAGGGTTGATCAGAGTGAGCGAGTGCTTCCTGGGGTCGAGGCGAGAGAGGAGCGTGCGCGCGAGCATCAAGCCCGCGCCTCCGCCGCCAACAATTACGATGTCCTTGCGCGTGGTCGACATGATCAATGCTGGTAGCAGGGAAGAAGGTCGTATATCGTCGATTCACAATCATGATCAGGCTTTATACGTAGAGATAGCGCTACTGACACTGGGTGACTCGGTGCGCGATGAAGAATCATCGCGGCTTGCGGCAAGCTGCATGTTGATCTGGCGCTGCGCAAGACAAGCTTCGGAGCCGGAGGTCGGAGACCAACTCCGAGCGCACACGTGCGGGAGTTGGCCTGCTTCGTATCTGAAAAATCGCAGTGTGAGTACCGAAAGTACAAAGAGTTGACCTATAGCTCACCAGATCAGGACTAGAGAAAGCACAGTGTCGATGATTAAGATTCATCAGATGGGCGGAAGAGAATAGGGAAAGGCTGCATTGACCACCGACACCAATATAGGTATCTATAAAGCGCATAAGCACAAGAGATACCGTTGACGCATTGACATGACACCTCAGCATGTCACCGAGAAGGTCCCCCAGCTACGATCGAATACTGCGGGGAATCATCCCAATGCGTCAATATGCAAGCGAGCGATTGATACGGCTCAGCTAACCGTGGCGATAAAAGTCTGCAAGCCGATGCCGAGTACACACGCGTCCCAAAAAAACGAGTAAGGGTATGATCATTAGCGTCACGGTCTTTACATGTATAGATCAAGGAGCAAGTCAGGTGCGGCCCTCGAATGAACACATCAAAGGCAAACCACCCTGTTGAAGGAATCTATCTTTGGATGGTATCGAGCCTCAAGCCTTTCCGGTAGTCCATCCGTAACCCATCACCCAGCGACCTGCCTGTATTGCCAGATGCTTCGACTGGGTCAGTCGCGTAAGCCAGCTTCCAATACAAATGCCCCATAGTATGCCGATATAGGACACGCCGCGCTCCTGCGGAAACGAAGTGAGCACAGATGCATGGGAAGTGAAGGTCGGAATACGCACGCTTCCGATGGAGATGGCGATGGTCTCGATTGATCCTGTGTACTTCTTCTTCGGCTCCTTTCCGTTCAGGCGCGCGAGGACGTTGGGTACCACAGCGTTGACATGCTTGACGTACTTTCCCAAGCGATTCCGTTCGGTATTGTCGAGAACGTCGCCGATGCAGAAGATGCCTGGGTGATCTGGTAGTTCGAGCGTCGGGTTCGTAGGCACTAGGCCGTATTTGGTGAGGACATTCTCCCCGAGCGACTTCATGAACTCTGTGGCGGGGCGTCCGCCATGAGAGGTCATCTAGACGGGTTCGGTCATATTCGCCCATACAATGGGATAATGAGAGTTATGACCCACGACTAGATCAGCCCGTACGGTCTCGCCCTTGCGAGTCGTGACATATCCGTCCTTGGGTACCGCTTCATCGAGATAGTCGTTGAAGACGAACTTGATGCCAGAAGTCTCGCACTCCTTGAGAATACGCCGCCTGAAGTTGTCGCGATAGACGTTGTTGAAGGGCAGACTTCTGCTTTGAACGATAGTCGTTTGCTTCTCCTGCAGGCAGAGTCAGAGATGTGTCTGCGGAGTTGAGTGTCCGGACGTACCGGGAAGTACTCTTTGATCTCCCCTGCAAGCTCTGCGCCATTTCAGCGGGGTATTGTGCGCAAAACATAACGGCAATGCTCACCAACACTTGTAGGACCGCCACCAGAGAACACGATGTGTTCGGCATCCTTCACCTTCTGTCGCCACTCGTCAACGTACTTCTGTATGTCCTCTCGCGTATCAGGGTAGTCCAACGGGTTCTCCAGTCGTGTTCCGGGTGCCAGCACCAGCGCGTCGTAGTGAAGACGCGTCCCATCGCGCAGGACCACATGCCCTCCTTGCCCCGAAGCTTTCTCGTCGATGGACTCAACAGTGCCAACGACTAGTTTCCCAGCATCGCCAAGCAGTCGGTCGTAAGGCATGCAGACAATATCCTCGAGATGGCCGTGGTCTGTGACGGCCATCCGCACAGTCGTCGGCAGGTAGATGTACACCGGGCGAGAGTTAACCAATGTGAGCGTATATCGTGTACGGTCGAACTTGCGCAAAAACTCCTTGACAAACATGGTGCCCGCGCCGCCGCCACCAACGACCACAACATCTTTCTTGCTCATGACGCGCACTGGAGACGGGGGATTCGGCCAAGAGAGAAGAGTAATTCATCGTATTCACGAGCAAAGGGACATTTGTACGTTCATCGGCAGAAGGAAGCAACTCAACCGCGCGTCTCGTCGGCGGGCATGGCTGCTGCGGTACTTATTTGGCGGAGGGTCTGGGCCGACGAGAGCATGATGGTGGTGGTTCGGAGGCAAGCGGGGAGCGAATCGGCGCGCGATGAGGAGATTGAGCTTATCTGATACCGTCATCAGACCAATCTAATCATATCTGCCTGACAGCGACTGTCTTATCTGATAGCACGGGTGTTCGGCCGCTTGCACCCGAACGTAGCCGCATACGAACATTCGGAGCAACAGGGTAGGTGCACACAGTCCTAGAAGGGCTCGGCGAACTTGGACATAGCTATACACGCGGCGCGGCGGCAGCGAGAGACTGATCTGCATATGAGAGCCAAACCGGCAACGCCCGTAGGCAAACGACAGCGTTGCGTTCTTAACTCACGCATGTGCGTATATAAGACTCAAGATGTAAGTACTGCATTCAATATGCACTATCAATCAGCGAAGTCAAACCATGGGTGCTTGATGACCTCGTCCATCTTGATCCTCTCCTCAGGCCGATACCTCAACATCCTCTCCAACAGATCTCCCAAAAGCTCTACTTCTCTCTCCGGCAGCGTCACACCAGTCCGCTCAATCATCCGCCCATCGTCACCCGGCGGAGGATCGTCCTGTGTCCCAATCTCGCGTAGCTGATCCCGAATGGAGCTCTTAGACGCCTTGATAAACACACCAGCGCGCTCCTGTTCCTCGATGCTCTTCGGTTCCCCATTCTCCTCGAACCATGCCTCGCGTCCCTCGAACTTTGCCCACCAAGGGTCAGGCAAGCGCCCCAGCATTCCAACGGTTTGCTTCATGATGTCCGTGTCGTCGCCGAAGAACGACTCGAACAGCGGCCTGCCCGCGCGGATCTCGAAGATCGCGCATCCCAGCGCCCACACGTCCGCTTCTAGGCCCGCACGTCCCTCGAAGCGCGCTTCCGGTGAGATGTAGTTGAACACCGTGCCCGGTTCGTAGCCCGGCGGCGGAGACGATATAGCGTACGATTGACCGAAGTCGCCTAGAATCACTCTCTCTTGAAGGAGAGATGTATCCGTCAGTTTGTAGTTGTCGATGGGTGCAACGAGCTCAGCTGGGACATGCGGTGGCGGGGCGCTTCCGTCGCTGGTTCTAACCATTTCGGTCTCCGGCTCGCCTAACCAGGCGTACAAGTCTGCATCCGACCATTGGAGTACATGAGGTGCAAGTGCAAAGAGGACATTTGATGTGGTTACGTCTGGGAGATGTTGTCAGTCAAGCAGTAAAGGTAGAAGGTTGCAAGACGCCCCTTACCTCCGTGAACAATGCCCGTGCGGTGCATGTAGCATACAGCCGTTGCGACTTGCCTGGACACATCACGCGCCAAAGCTGCACGCAAGCGCCGACTTCCGAGCGTTCGTCCAGGACAATCTGACATGGCGAGGACGCTGGGGCCAGCGAAAGGAGAGACGAGGCATAGATGGGAGCCATTTACCCCCTGAACATGGAAATGGTCATCGACAACCTGAATCCCAACGGATGGCGGGATGTTCGCCTGTAGCATCTTGGGTATGGTAAGCGCCGGGAATTCGTTCACGTTCCCGGAAGAAGCGCTGGCGCGCAGGATCTTGAGTGTAACGAGACGCTCAGAAGCTCTTTTATCGCGCGCGAGCCAGACAGTAGAGGAGCCTCCAAAGCCAAGTTTATGCACCACCCTATAGCGGTTCTGACCAAAGTGGTCTCCAAGTGATACGGGGTGAAAGCCACCAGGTTGGTAGTCCTCGACGTCTTCGACACCTTCCAGTTGCGACGGGACGAAACGACGAGCTATCATTGTTCTGGACGTGACATTCATACTTCGAATGGGGTGATAGAGTGAAGATCGTAGCGATTTGGTGGCAACGCGCAGGGTCAACATGTGCGACAGACGACGGTTGGAAGGAACCCAGCATTTCTGAGCCACAATGTTCGGCGTTCGCCGGGCCGAGATTCCGCCCGCCCCGACCTCGTCGGAATGTTGTAGGGTCGGAGGATCCTTCTATAACCCAATATAGTATCATAGGTGAGGTACGTCTAGAAGGTGATGTACTAGGTTGGGTAAAGTTCAAGGGCAGGCTCCAAACCAGCCGTCGTTCGCGTGTTTCTCCAGCTACTAGGGTATGGGAACTAAATACTATCTGTGAGAACTCTGGGTCAAAAAGGAAATGGTAGACAGCGGAGATCACCGAAGACTGATAACTAGTGAACCTTAAGCAAGTCGAAACACGCGAAGTCTCAGAGTTCTCACAGATAGTATTTAGTTCCCATACCCTAGTAGCTGGAGAAACACGCGAACGACGGCTGGTTTGGAGCCTGGTTCAAGGGTTGCACAGGCCATACGTAGTATCATAGAACACGTGCAGTGTGCGCCGTGTGTCGATCGAGACTGCGCCCAGCGGCCACATACCCATACATGATGACGGGGTGCAAGAGCGGCGAAACCACTAACGCAGGCACTGCAGGTAGCGCCGTGCAGTTACCCTAGCGTGAGGGCAGACTCGTTGGTACTGTGCCCCATGGGTAAGTGCAGGAGTAGGGTCTCTATTGAAGTTGTCGGCACTCTGTAGAGCGACACTGGCGCCTGTGCACTGCACTCGTGGCTCACACAGGAACAACAGCGAGCGCTAGATATCACACGTATCTGCGCCACATTCGCCCACCTATCCGCACCGCAGTTATCCCGTGGCCTGGATCCTAGGGGATAGCAGATAGTTCAGCGGTGGAATCTCTGTCAACGAACGAACGGAGCAGGACATACCGAGTAAGGGTAACCTGCTGGAAGCGAAATGCAGGGAGCCCTTGACGTATGCTCTAGACTGCGAGACCATGCTATGCAGAGCCGATGAGCAAGGTCTGCAAGGGCATACTTACGATGATCCGATACATATAAAGGACTGGCGTTAAGCGAGGACTCGATCCTCAGCGTCAGCGTCTATCGCCTGCTCACTCAACTTGCCATTACTGTAACCTACTCAACATGTCACAGACATCTGGCGCCGCTGGTGCCGCTATCAGGCTCATCTGGAAGTGTACCAAGCCTAGAGACGCGACGGTGGTATCGCTGTGCGAGAACCTCATGCTCGCAGCCGCTCGCAAGTACAACATGGACTGCGCCGTGATCAGGTAAGTAGACGAATCTTGCCGTTGATTACGATCCCCGAACGCTGACAACATTCGGACAGAGCTTCCGTTCATTCGACAACGCGTCAGGGCGGCAAACGCGTCCAGACTGTGCCGCACATAACTGGCGATATCGTAGATCGTAAGTAGACTTGCGCGACATCAGAGCGCGTCAGGCTTTAGGCCGGAGGTCTAGCATCAGCTGACAGCTACTTTCAGTGAAGAGGAATGTGGGATATGCGCTGCATTACAACCTCCAGCCTGACCAGAGGACGCCGACGGCTGGAAGCACGAGTGCTCCGAACCCGGAGGTGTGGCAGCTCACTCATAAGGACAACAAGGGATTCGTCCTGGTTCAGGAGGATGGGACGGAGGAAAATCATGATATGGAGGGTGTTGAGTAGTGACCGTTCCTGGGATGTCTCCCTGAATCACGATATAAGCTTGTACATCGCTTGAGAGTATACACACGCCACTGATGTGAAGACCAGATAGCCTGATGGAGATACGATGCCGCTCTTTGGGAAAGCATCACGCTATCGTCGAATAGCTACGACACTGAGTGGCAATAGCATTTTAAAGGGCATTGCATCGCGAAGCTTCACGCGCGGTGGGGTCGAAAGGCAAGAACTTGAAGAAGACGCGACGCGACTGTGGGTCCGTGTTTACGCGCATCTCCCACGCGCGCCGCGCCGCGCCCACTTCACCTCCCGCCCCGATTATCCGTCCCCAATTCCGTCTCCCCCACCCACAAACCCGTCAAGGTGAGATTTTGTCCGCTACACGTCCGTAACTGCTGCTGGGAGCCATGCCGTCCGTTTGAACGGCGAAACGATGGGCGGAAATGGGTGGATTGGATGGAGTTGGAGCGGATGAGGTTGGATGCTGCGATTGGAGAGGACAGGATTGCTGACGGAATTTTGCCCTGTGCTGTTGGTATTTGCAGATGGTGCGTATCTTTATGCTTTGGCATTGCTATAGATTGCTGACTGCTGTATCTTTGGGAGTATAGAAGGTTGAGATCGACTCGTTCTCGGGCTACAAAATCTACCCCTCCAAGGGGCGCCTCTTCGTCCGCGGGGACTCCAAGGTGCGTTATATTCATTTCCTACTAGAATAGATCCTAATCCATCACAAAATATAGATCTTCCGCTTCTCGGGCTCGAAGACGGAGTCATTGTTCCAGCAGCGCAAGAACCCGCGCAAGATCGCCTGGACTGTCGTCTACCGCCGCATGCACAAGAAGGGTCTCACCGAGGAGGTCGCCAAGAAGCGCTCCCGCAAGACCGTCAAGCACCAGCGTGGGATCGTCGGCGCCGACATGGCATCCATTCTCGCCAAGCGCAACCAGACCGCCGCCGCCCGCACAGCCCAGCGCGCCGCCGCCGTAAGCAAGGCCAAGACGGAGAAGAAGGACAAGGAGGCGAAGAAGCCCAAGGTGCGTCTATCGTCCAGACTGAATTTGAATGCATGGTGCTGAATTTGTTCGCAGGGCCCCAAGCCGACGGGTGTTGCTGGTGGCGCGAAGGTTTCTAAGCAGCAGATGAAGGGCACACGGGCGGGCGCGAAGACGCGTGTTTGATTGTCTCGGCGCTATCGATGCTGTGGGATACCGTATCATGTCGCACCATGTACCATGACTTCTTTCTTTTCTGTCTCTCGCTATGCACATGCATCACACGCACCCCGCTATCGCGTTTGAAAACTGCACGTCCCAGTCCGATATAGCGCGTGATGACAACTCTAACACCGTCGATTCCCAGAGGTTTGCATAAGGCTATGGTACATGAGGTCGATCTTACTGAACGCTTCTGTCGACGCCTACTCCTGCATGATCTCCTTCAACGCGTCGCTCAGAACTTGCCACCTCGCAAGCATGTTCTCCGTCCCAGCGCTCTGCCTAACGACGATCCACTCGAAGCTGAGGATACCCTTCTCCGCCAACCACTCCCGCTCTTCGTCGCGCAGCTCATCGTACAGCCGTATCGCGGCCTGCTGAGCCTCTTTAGCTTCGACGAACCACCCCTCGGCGGTCTGTTCGGCGCTGTAGGAGAGCAGGCGGTCGAATTCGGCGCGTCGGGCGCGCGCGGAGGCGGAGAGGGATAGACAGGCGCGGACGGTGGATAGGAAGGAAGTGAGGAGGTTTGTAGAGGTGTTGCGCGTTGAAACACGGCGGAAGGAAGACGGGCGCGGGCTCGAGCAGCGGGAGGGCGCCTGCGCTTGGCTGTAGGTCGATGCTTGTCGGCGGAGCGAGCTATGGTGACGCGCTATCAGTACTTCCATTGCTTCAGTGTAGGTTAAGGACGCACCTGACTGCTACAGATTCCATGACGGGCCAAACGCTAACGGTGATTGAGAATGAGTGATGGGTGGTACGTACTGCGGCGCTGCCTACTCTCTTTCGTGAACTCGAGCTCGGTCATATATAGGGTGCGACGACCACGCACGAGTGGGGAGAACGTGGATAACCACAGGCCGGAGGCATAGTCCACAGCCTCTGAGATCTGAGTGCGAGCGACGTTGAACCACAGGGCTAGGCGCACAAGGGGTGGGAAGTCGAGACCCCGGGTTATTATATTGTTCGGTCATAAAGGCTCGGAATGGAAGCTCTTTTGTGAGTGTGGTCGAGGGTTCGTTTTGAGCTTTGGCGTTGTGGACAAGGCGGTCTAGAACGTGGACTTCGCGACTCTCTGTTCTTTGGAAGGTCGCTGCCGCCTTGGTCTATTATCAAGCTGCGTCAGGCTCACGCTAATTAAATAAATCGCATGCACAGGGCATCTAATGATAATAAATATAAGGTCAAGAAACGGCATAGGATACGATAGCGTTAACGAAGCAGGCCGCCAGGGTCAAAACAGTCGGAGAGCGGAAGCAGAACACAGGCAGACAGTGAGAACGTATGCTACGGGTTAGATAGAGAACGGGTTTAAACGTTATAGCAAAGGCACAGGAGTCAAAGCGCAAGAAGGTGACGACGACGAGACGGATTGAGGATCTAAGACTGCCAGTAATCTGGAAGCTCCAAGTATTCGCTTCTGAATCAGGGAAGGCTCAGAGCTTGCAGGCTACTATAGATGACACGACAGACGTGGCCAGTTGAATGTACCCTCAAGGGCAACCTAATAATAGCCGGAATAGGCGCTCTGGCCATTGAGCTGATGATCGACATCCTCGAGGTTGTAGGTACTGTCATAGTCGAAGAAGTCAATGGAGAGCGAAGAGCTGGAAACGGGGCTACCGAGCGAGCCCAGCGCGTTGTAGCTCATAGATGGCGACGAAACGCCAACTGACTGGGTGGACATCGTGCTGAACACTGCAATGTTCGTCAGTACATGATGCTGCCCATCGCTCAAACATGTCTCACCGAAGTCATCGCGGAGCTTGAGAATGGGCATCACCGCGCCCTGCGATACGGAGACGATGGCGAGAAGAGTGAGATCGTCAGCCGTGATGCGACCAGGTGTGATACCCACAGCCCAGTGCAGATTGGTGCTCTGAATACGGGCGTGTTCCTGTGCTTACTATCAGTAGATAACCCCGATCATCAACAGATCACAGACTCACCGTGATAAACTTGCGAACCTTGCCCCTAACTTGGTTCACCAAACGTCTGAAGGTGAAGGAGTCCCCGGGTTGACGACCGTCATGCCGCATCCGAATTTGAGCTTGCCAAGAGGCATACCCAGGCCACTACACGGTGTTTCAGTAAGAGAAGGGGTGACCGAGATGAATGAAGATTTTGCTACTTGCCTCGATCTTGACAAATACCGTCGTTCTCACTCTCCCACCAGGGCCATTGGTGAACTGCCTCTCCCCGTGTTGTAGGGCATACACTTCGCCGCCGCTGATGGGGACGCCTAAGCCATGTTGACCTACTATCCAGTAAGGGACCGGTTCGATGCTACCGAGGACGATGGCAGATCGTCCAGGCGCATGTCGCTGGTACGGCACGTAGCGACCCAGCGGCACGATGAGAGAGATGTCATCTGCCGCGACGTCAATGATATAATACTGGCGACCGTTGTCGGAGAGATGTGTATGTGCGAATGGGGACGGGTCCCGGATAGCTTGGAAGGTGATGGCGTTTGGAATGCCAGGAATATTTGGTGCGACTTGATTCTCTTCGCCGCCGTAACAAGACTCGACGAAGCCACGGTAGAGCCCGGGCTGGGCAGGAGTACCATGATTGTAGTGCACAGCGACTGCGTCGACGCGCCTACACATTTCCTCGAGCGTCAGAAGATAGTTGATGATTCCATCGGCGTGCTTCTCCGCGACCAGAGCATGGATTAGGCCGGTTGGAACGATACCGCTCATTGTGAGCTCAGGAGGCGGGGATGCGCGAGCACAGCTGAGAAGCTGCTATGCCCTCTTGTAGTGCTACGGTTGTCGATACACGCCTTCATACCGAGTGTATGGCCGAGCTGGAAATCCAATCCATGTTGTTAGATATTGCCTCAGGACGTGCATGGACTCCAGTCCAACGCGCGGATTCCAGTCCAGTTACCTAGAGAGGTCAGTTAAGAGGAGGCGTCGAGCACGCGGGAGAAGATGGAGGCAAGCTGGTTCCCGCGCGACGTGCCAGACGGGCAGCGACGCGCTCCCGGAATTGGCATGTACACGATCCAGTGAGATGCCAAACCCAACTGGACCGACTCAACCAAAAGACGCCGAGTCGCAACGCTTGCCCTGTCACCGATTCAAGACGATGAGCTTGAAGTGGTCGCCAATACATCTGGGTAGCCCGCCGCACGACGAACATCCAACTACATGGCATTCGAACGGAAGCACCTTAAGTATTCCGGCCAGTACAGCTTGCTACACCTGTAGCAAGTCGAAGGGAAAAGGGTGGTATATGTTATAGCAGAGTCCAGGTGGACATCATTTCGTAGTTGGATGGTAACTGGACCGCGCCCGGCCGGTGGTGGAAGTCGGGAACAAGTGGGCCTCGGGCGTTCCGGAGACGCGCGCTTGATTTTAGTCACGGGGGCGAAGTTGAACTTCGAGACCGGATTTGGAGTATCGTTTAGAGCGCGCCCATCCAAGTCGGAGCAGACCTCTCAATCGCAGCTCTGAGGCCGTTTGCAAGGGTAGTTCCGCAGTCAACGCGGAATAAACGCCTGACGTTGCACGCACATCATAATTCCATCCAACTTGTCTACAGGCGCGCATGGACTACATGCGGAGCCATGATGCCGGTAAGTATATCTATACCTAGTCTACATCCCCATCGAGCTCGCCGATGCCTCAGTGGTATCACAGTTAAACCTAATCTCCGACCATACTTCCTCCCTGAACAATCGTGCAGAGTATAGATGCACCCCCACACCTCCCGTTCAGTATAGTAGAAGGGTTTTCGTGAACATGGTTCCCGAATATATCCATATAGATCCGCGGTACGAAAGAAGTGGCCGATCCCGTCAAGTCGTGCCACAGGAGACTCGACAAACTATGCGCCAGACGCGCGGTTTGCGCTGAGTATATCTTCTCTCACCAGTACAAGCAGAGTGTATTCGAGTTACAATAGCGCCAAAGCGAGGTGTATCCCAGCGCACGGTAAGTTGAGGCAGCAGCGCGTCAATAGAGTGATCATGGCCGTAGGATATCAAGCCCGCGCGGCGGGCTGCGACGCGTCTTGTTTGCTACTACCACGCACTCACCTCCATCCGTCCCCGCGCGCGTAAACATAGACCGCCTCTCCTTCGGAAGTGCACCATGTTTGGGCCCGGCAGTGGAAGACGCGGCGTCGTTCAGGGGTTGAAGACATCGCCAGCGACGGATTCTGCGCGTTAGCCGTACCCGGCGCCGGCGAAGAACGTGACGGAGACGCAAAGTGCAGAGAGGTGTCATCGAGAGGGATCAGGAAGGGATCAGGAAGAGTCCTCAGAGGAGGCGAAAAGCTGTTTTACGTTTACATGGGTACGTGCTCTGATCTTGGACTGTGCGACTGCAGGATATCTGACAGAGGCGGTACTCTAGCTCTTGGCCCATCGCACACAGAAGTACCCACGTACAAGCTGTTCTACCTCATCTTCATCCACGTCTGCACTCACGGGAGACTTCCCGCACCGCGACTGTTCACCACCGAGGACCAGACTGCAGAGCATCCTCAACTTCTTAGTCATCTTTCACGAGGCCTGAACAGCCAGCCCTGTATATAGTGCCCCATCGTCGACTCACTCTTCATATATCATATATGATTGCGAGACGATCTCGCTCGATGCCCATCTCTCGTCCACGAAGCGGTCTGAAATCTGTATCCTTCGCATCCGCTCGTCCTACGCAGCAATCGTAGGGCTAGGCAGCGGCGCTGGTGAGCACCATGTGAGACCTGATCAAAACGGTTCTGTTCATGCAAATGCCTGACTACTGGAACGTTCGGATCTTGACTCTTCTCGCTTGAAGCGTTGCACTCGGAGCCGCCGGGTCACTCTAGCCATCATTCGAGATGAGCTGGACCTAGAACTTGCGACTGACCGTGTCAATGATCACGAAAGACTCGCGCTCACCATGACGGTCAAGCTGTGACCGCATCGCACGTAGGTAACACACTATTGCCACATTGAATAGAAGAGATCGCAGTGCTACGTACATACTTATCTACGCCACGAGACATTGGATGGCCTTTACAGATACAGATGGGAGGTGTCTACGCCGATCGGCTTTGACAAACCTTCGGCTTACTTAGCCTTCGGGTCAAACAGTGTTTTCCACATTCGTTCCCGCCGAGAGCAGCGCCCGGTGAACTTATCAGCTGCAAATAATCCGCCGTCCTCCAGGTTATTGTCGAACATGAGACGATCGAGCATATCCCACTGCTCTAGACCAATGACCGCTCGCTGGATAGTGTCATATTTGTCGGGCTGCACCTCCATAACCATGGCCTCAAAGGTCTCGAACATGACCTTCGCAGTTTCAGGGCTGATAGGATATATGTCGGGTATACTGTGGTCGAGCAATGGTTTGCATCGGTTGAAAAGGTCCTGGTCATCGGAATGCAAGCTGTCCAGCTTAGGTGGGGCCGCGTTGAGCCGATTCCACTTCAAGTTGAGACCTGCCTGCGCTGCGCGCCACCACACGTAGGTGATGGACAGCCCTCTCAATGTCAATGTTTGTGCGGCGGCATCACGTTGTTGGTTTTGTTGCACCTGAGCCTCGTCGATGAACCTAATGGAAGTGGCGTCAGTACATAGTATTCGAGAGATAGATTTGCTCCTGCCCACACTATATTGCCATAATATTGTCCGTATGTCGAAGTCATTCTGGAACGTGAGCGATTGGTGAAGACGATGATCGTTGCAGGGTTGGATCGACGAGGCGAATACCGCAACCCTTTTATACTATGTAGGAGACCGGCGTGAGAAATAGGTGGTGCGGGAAGGCGCTTCCAGTTGGCTTTGTTATCTTCAGACACAAGAGCACATCATCGCCTCCCAACGAGTATAATGGCAGATCGAAGAATGGTCTGGCGACTGCGATTGTTAGCGTAACTGCGCGCAACACACAAGCTCCGCGAGACCAATCGAACAAGATAAAATGCGGGCTGGAACGTGATACTTTTCTGGCGATCCGTCTGAAGAAACAACTCCGACGTGAGCTCGACGGGAATATCGCAGGAGGGAGGTCTGCCAATCGTGAACTGTAGGGTACCAATGCAGAGGAGCAAGACTGAGAAGGTAACAAGTGGCCGTTGTGCCAGTACATGCCGTTGCTGGGGCCTTCTGAGTCAAACAATCGCCCAAAACCCTAGACAAGGACGACTAGGACAGCGGCGTAACTTTCGACACAGGCTTGGGCTACAAACGCGCGCCAATCCTCCCGATTCAGACAATAGCAGCCGTATTTCACTTCGTCCAGAGGCACCGGGTGTTGTATTCGAACACCGGTAGTCGGAATTGTAGCGCGTCGTGGCGGTAAGAGCCAACGCGCGCGGCACCTTCAACTTGAGCGCGCGCTTTCCGGCGCCTGGTCCATGTGGCACCGGTTCGAATCGGCGCGTCTATATCAAGCCACCTCTTGTTTCCTACCACCACATTCCTCTTCAGGCTACTGCGCCACCCACGCTTGTCCGCGTCGACGATGAACTTCTTCAAGTCGAAGCAGCGGACACCACCAGAGCTCGTGCGCGGGTTGCGCGATAACGTGCAGAGGTTGGATTCGGCGCCTCCGGGAGAGGCTAGGCGGAAGGTGCGTCCACTTGCGGTTGAATGATGACGAGGATACTGACTGCGATAGGCTAGTGAAGAGATCAGCAAGAGTCTGCAGCAGATCAAAGGGCTATTGTACGGTGACGGAGGTGAGTACTTCGAACTTCGACCGTGTGGCGCCAGACGCTGATGTGCGAACCACGCGCGTTTATCAGAGCCCGTACCCGAACTTCTCGCCCAACTCGCGCAGGAGACGTACAGTACGGACTTGCTGTACCTGCTCGTGACCCACATCGCCAAATTCGACTTCGAAGCGCGCAAGGACGTCGTCCAGATCTTCAACAACCTTCTACGACGGCAGATCGGCTCGCGGTGGCCGACGGTCGAGTACATCTCCGGCAAGCGCGAGGTCCTGTTCGCTGCGCTGGCTGGCTACGAAAACGAAGATGTCGCGCTAAATACGGGCCTGATCCTGAGGGAGATGCTGAGGCACGAAGGGTTGTGCAAGATCTTGCTGTATTCGGACCAGTTCTACAAGTTCCCGCACTATATCGAAACCACGACGTTCGACATCTCGACAGACGCGTACTCAAGTTTAAAGGACACGCTTACGAGACATAAGCCTATGGTCGCGGAGTATCTGGATAAGAACTACGATCGCGTACGTCTTGTTTCTTCGCGCTCTCTTCCTCTTGACCTCCGGCGGCTGACGCGCTTGCACAGTTCTTCAACTCTTACACCACCCTCCTTCTATCCACTAACTACGTCACTAAACGCCAATCCCTCAAGCTACTCGGCGAGATCCTGCTCGACCGCGCCAACTTCGCTATTATGACCCGCTACATCTCCAACGACGCGAACTTAAAGATGATGATGAACTTGCTCCGTGACAAGAGCAAGAACATTCAGTTTGAGGCGTTTCACGTGTTCAAGGTGCGTGTACCCTCTACTTCGCTCTGTGTTAGTGTCCTCATACTGGCACGTAGGTCTTCGTGGCGAACCCGAAGAAGCCGCCACAGATCGAGAGTATCTTGCGGCGGAACAAGGAGAAGCTGCTCGCCTTCCTGAAAGACTTTCACAACGACAAGGACGGTAAGCACCATCAAGCGTACCCGTACCCGACTCCTTTGACTGATGCACGCGTGCAGATGAACAGTTCACGGACGAGAAGCAGTTCCTCATCGTCCAAATACAGGGCTTATGATCTTGCGCGCTCCCGCTCGCCCGGACAGTCGCCTTCCCCTCATGCATATATATCCGCTTGTCTCGATCTCTTCCTTCACACACTCTCGCTCCCTCGTCCCACCTCTCTCGAACTCTTTATCGCATGTACCACCGTCCTGCTCTCTTCATCATCGCATCGTACCCACTCATCTATCGCTCTCGCGCTGCTCCACTCTCACCAGTATCATCCTTCGCGTCGCTGTCTCTCTGTTCGCAAGTCGGGTTGGTTCTCAGATCTCATCAATCACACATCGCTTTCTTGTACGCAGCTTTGCGAGTGGCGCGCGCGCGTGCGCGCGCACACGGTCAGTAGGGAGAGAGCTCAGCCCTACTGGCGTGTGGGCCTCTATGGGACGGATGGACAACCTCTCGACCGCAGTTCTTACTCAGAGTTCACCGTTGATGCATTCATGCGCGCTCATCGCAGTACGCGCATACGAACCAGCCCTATATTGTCAGATACGCCGCCGCGAGAACTAGTACAGGATGGATTTGACGCAAGCGACTCAAGCAAGAAGCGGCATCGTTGCAGTGGATCATACGAGGATAGAAGCACATAGTATCCGGCTCTGTACCAACTATAGGTCCGTAGTCGGCCAGCTATTCCACAGGCTTCCTGACGCCGCGCGATAACATTGGTGATCACATCGAGTTGTTCATAGACAGTACGACGCGAGTTTGGCATGGCAGAACCCGTGAGCGTATGTTTGATAGGCTGAGCAGACGAAGATTGCACTATTCAAGGGAGCTATTGCGTATAAAAAGCACAGTGGGAAAGAACGGCCGAGGTCGTGGTAGTGAGAGACAAGGCGCGCTGCGTCGCGTCGCTCCTTGGCTTCTACCGCCACCTTACGCCACGTCATGCTTATTGTCACTCTATATAAGCTACAGCGCTCGCTCGCGGCACAATACATCTACGATATGCGGTCTATCTCGTAGCTCTCTGCGCCTCTAGATCACTGGCCGCATATCCCTCGCGCCGGTCCTTCGCGCTCTTGGCAGCTGCTTGTTTCGGCTTTCTGGGTCATAGAACTGGCGACATTCCCATACCTTTGCCTCACGAAGTTGCCTTCAAGTTCCTGGGAGAGGCTGTGGATCTGCGGATATAGGCGTTGGAGAGGTCGTGTAGGAGGTCGAAGTAGGGTTGCACATCATGACTCGGCGAAGAGTAGATGGTCGAATGAGATCTCGTTGCCTACAGTCAGTATCTCGCCTCCATGATGCCTTATCTTATACGACAACTTACTGGTTGTGATAGACGCGGCTTTTGAATCATCCGGATGAAGACGCTCTCCCGGCGATAACTGCACCCATCTCGAGCAACTCGGCGCAATAAAAGACACCCAATATCTCCACCATTTGCGTCGAAGTACCGTGCGTCCGGTGGAAGCTACCTGGACTATACGAGGAGAGACTTCATGTCGATGCACATACATGTGCTCGTGTTTCGCGCCTAACACGATGCGCTTACCTCCTCGCCGCTCACCTCGCGTCACGTACCAACACTGAGTCTTGAGGTTCGGCTGGGTGAGGGACTTGGTGGACCACGCTCTCTTCTTCGAGGCCCGCGCAGAAACCACGCTACCTGGCCGTCAGCGCTGGCGAGGGCGAACGCGGCACGCGGAAAGACCTGCGCGGAGATCTACGCGCGCTCGCCAAGGGCTGTCTCGCATTCGGCCGTGGCTGGACGCTATCGCCGCCCACAATCGTACCGTGGCGAGCTCACACCCGTCACCTCAAAGGCATGCAAAGCCGGTCAAGATCGCAAAGGCGTTGGCGGCTTCGCGAGTATGCCTTCGATATGCATCCCGCCGCGGAGCGGGCGTGTTCATCTGTGGAGAAGAGACGGAGGGGTATCGAAAGAACTCGGGGAAAGCCGCGTCTGAAGTCGCGGCTTCCCGCCGACATCAGCTGGTACAGTGACCGACCACCGTCGTGAACGTCGAGATCATGGCGCGGCTCTGTATGGCTCGCTGGCGTCGGTCGCGAGGGTGCCCAGCGGGTCGCGTGGCGGAAGGGATACCTGGTCTTCCGGCCGGGAAGGACTTCGTCAAAAAGCGCGGTGGCGGCGTGCGTCCAGAAACGGACAGTCTCCTAGGCATTATGCCGGGTGACTTGTTCTTGCCAATCACATACGGGTACCTGCGCGCAGGTCCTAAGGACTACGACTTGTTGGAGGACGCAGCAACCAGTATCGGGTCCACCACACTGGGCACTCTACCGACCTCGTCACCACCCTTGCCTGCTATGCTCACGTACGTCTCACACTCGTCATGGTCGCCCGCTGATGTGCTAAGCCCATATGTTTCTCTAGTCCTACAAGCTTGTATCGTGCGGACCCGTACACATTGTATTGCGAGGGCATCGCTTGGGCGGTGAACATGACGGGCAGGTTCATGGAGGGCAGGTACGTCTATCCGTCTTTGCTCACCCCCGAACTCATCACTCACACATCTCCACAGCGGATACGCATGCACAATCGCCAACTCCTCGAGCCCTCCAGGCCAATCGAAGCCCACACGATCTGTGCACTCGACGCCGCAGCAGCCTGGCGCATCCAAGGTCTCATGCGCCACTTCCGCCCGCTCATCGAGGACCGTATTTCCCAGTTCCGCGCCACCAACGGCGGTCCGGTGATGCTCGGTGGGCGTCTCGCGGGCGGATGTGGACTCCTAGGAGATTGACCTTGCTGGATAGTTTGGGCGCGAGTTGGAAGGAGGTCGCGTCGCCGCCGACGTAGTTTGGTAGAGTAGGATGTGGGACCTCGGTTAATGCAATTCTTTCATCGTTATTCATTGGCTTTGCTCGTCAGCCGTGGCGTGATGCTTGCGATCTTCGTGCAGGTAGAGGCGTGAGGGTGTCATTCACAGCCCTCGCATCACTCATGTTTCGCGTGCGCGCTCTGCGAGGCCGACGTCCTTGTGCACGGATGCAGCCAGGTTGTATACCAGTGCGCCGGTCGCGCTGATATATTTGCTACCTGCGTCACGCTTAATCCTCCCGCGCGCTATCGAGTTCAAGCTAGGGAATGACGCCGACAGCTTGCGTACGCAACCACGGCCGTATCTGTTGCGCACAGTGCTCTCATACGCGCGCGTATGCGTCTTCGCCGCTCATCCGCGTTGTGACGCCGATCGCTCTCAAACAGCTTCATGATCACTCGGACGAAAGTGTGATCGCCAAGGTTCATTCGTTTCATACTGACTCATTGTGGCAATGCCGTGTATTCAGGGGGTCTCAGTATGGTAGAGCTGAAGGGCTGGTGCTAATAGTGTTGGAGGCACGGAGTTGGAGTATGTGTGGTGTAGAGGAAATGGGGAGGGGATAGATCGACGTCGTAGGTTGGTCTTCGGTCCCACTCTGGCCGAGAATCTAGTGCAGAGTAAAGAAGGTGCATAATTCGAGCGTATACGGGTATTAACATTCGATGAACCATACACACATGCCTCACTGAGGCGTACTCGTCGCTCAACGTCTCCAGAGAATAAGTCGGCCCTTCGTTGAGTGCAATGGACAACGTTGGTGGCGCGTGCGATCCCGCAGTGTTTGCTGAGAACAGTGGAAGGCGTCTAAGGACGGGCAAGGGTGTAAGCGTGGTGAGCGTTCGAGACAAGCTGGCTCGAGCGCAGGTACGCGGTCGTGTTCACGCGCGGAGTTCGATGCGCCGGTCTTTCCGCGACCACCATCTCCGTCAGAGCTGCTCTCACTTTCTGCAACCCCACTGCCGCTTTGCCAGCCAACAATCAGTGACTCAGCTCTCGACAAATATGCCACAAACTATTCCTGCCCTGCCACAAAGCTCTCGTGCCCCGTACACGTGAAACGGCATTTGCCCGCGCCCGACTCTGCCTCCTCTACAGACCACCACCTCGCCGCCTACCTGGACATGCCGTACCTGCGTGCTCTTAGGGTTAGGGTTAGGGTTAGGGTTAGGGTTAGGGAGGAGTATATCAATAAAGAACGCCTTGAGAGCGTGAGTGCGGGATACTGGGCCTACGAGGGTTGGAGGGAAATTCCAACCCGCCCCGTTTCGCACTTATATAGCGCTCATCAGGGCCGCGAGATCCGCTTACTACGAGGCGCGGCGATGACGATGTCGTCGCCGAGCCGCATCTTGCAGACTTACTAAGACGGCCCGGAGTGGGTCCGGGCACGATCTCCGTGGCCGGCCGGCGATTCGTAATCAAGCCGGCGGCACACGAACACATGTGATTAACCAAAGATGAGCCGCCATGCCGGCGGCTTCCCATCAAGCACGTGCTGATCGGAACTCGGTCCGGGCACGTGACCCCTATTATGTAACCCTGCGTTTAGAACCGTCCATTCCTGCGTGGGAGCGGTTAGGGTTAGGTTTAGGTTAGGTTAGGGTGGTTAGGGGTTAGGGTTTGGTTAGGGTTAGCTACACATGATGTAAGTAAGCTAACTGCTTGCAAATAGCGAGTGTACGCACGGTTAGAGTTAGGGTTAGGGTTGTCTGGGCCAGGGTCCCTAAAACGCACGGTTAATACCGTCTGCGCAGAGTCGCAGTAACGTGGTACCTACAAGATACAAGTAGTTTGTCTAGGAAGCGACAAGGTTCCGGTGGTGCAAATAGGCACTGCTTGAGCGGGGTACTAAACCGCAAGCCGCTGTTCTGCCACAGTAGCACTACCGCCCCATTGCGGGAGACCCACGGGGGACGGCGCTACTTTCAGCGAGAACTCGCCTCTCTCTCCCAAGTACTACGGCCGCAATCCAATGTTCTGCCACAGTAGCACTACCGTAGCAGAAGGGCACGGCGCTACTTTCAGCGAGAACTCGCCTCTCTCACCCACGCTTTGGGGCTACGCAAGACTAGGACATCTAGACCATTCCTCGAAGGATACGCAAGACTAGGCCATCTAGGAACTTCCCACATGGCCCAAGGTTACCTATCTGAAAGTCTGCGTCCCAAGAGACGCATACCTCCAGGCACGCGGAACCGGCGACGAGCGTCGGTGCAGCTGTATAGTATTCTCATCATCCGAGTCAGAGCCGCTCCGTTCACCAGGAGCAGGGATGTGAGGTACCGGTGCAGCGACGAGAGCAATGTCGCGTATACGATTTTCAGGAGGGTCTATTTCCTCCCCTACGCGCTCGTCGAGTCGATTGAAGACTATCTTTTTCCAGAGACTGGTAAGGTCAAACAAGTTCTTCGTGCGCTTGCGCGAAGTGATCAACCTACGGTGTAGAACATTTACTTTCCGTATATCCGGAACGAGGACTTCCCCGGAGGTAATGTCACCCGGCCCGAAAGCAGCCGGGACCCAGAGAGCTTTGCTTGGCGCGCACTCATCCAGGCCCATGGCATACCCTTTATGCGGGAGGCGAATGCCCATCTGATGGGCAGTGCCGGCTTCAATGGCAATGATCGATTTATGCCAATGTTCTAAGATAATCTCCCCTAGCTTCCTAGCGTCAAAGTAATTCCATGCGGTGTTGAACTCTGTCTTAAGGACCAAAACGTCGTCCAGCGGGGGTTAGGGTTAGGGTTAGGGTTAGGGTTAGGTTAGGGTTAGGGTTAGGGTTAGG